ATTTGAAAGGAGAACCATACCTAGTTGATGTGAGGAATATCCAATGTAAAGGGGGAACTCTTACATAGTAGAGTGTGAGTTTTCCCAAAGTTAGGTCTCATGAGATGGAAGCCTTCATATAGTTGAGTTAAGGTTTCTAGTAGCAATCTCCATATACAATGAACTAAGACATGCTTGAAGAAGTATCTCATAGTGTTCAAAAGAATTAATGAACTAATACATGATTGATGAAGTATCTCATAGTGTTCAAGAGCAAAAATGGACTTAGACATACTTAAGGTAGTATCTCATAGGGTCCATCTTATTAATGAACAAAGACATACTTAAAGGAGTAGCTTATAGTGTTCAAGGTATACATGGATTTAGACATGCTTATGTAAGTATATCATAGGATCCATGTTGATAATGATCTTAGACATGCTTAAAGAAGTGTCTCATAGGGTTCAACCTACTAATTAACTAAGATGTGCTTAAGGGAGTACCTCACAGCGTTCTAAAGTTAAAGAGAGGAACTAGGTTCCAAACCAACAAGCCTTAGTATGAGGACCTAAAAGTAGTACTTAGCATGAATAGTATTATGGGATGCTATCCATGCATTGCAAAATTATGACTTAAGGTTATTCAAGAAAGTGTTCTCTCATGATGTATGTTTGATGGATTGTTGCTATAGTTGCCATCTATGAGATGATTGACTTAGAATGATAGTTCCCTTGTATATATGAATAAATCTAATAATAAGACCAAGTGAATGGTAGTTATGTTTATGGTGACTTTAAGGCTATGTTTAGTATGAAGGGTACTATGGGATTCCCTTCATACATTGCACAAGTGTTCTTTGAGGTTACTTAGAGGTATAGTACTCCTATAGAGTGAAAGTCAAAGATTGACCATGCATATAGACTATGGTTAAGATGGCCAAAAAGGGGTGCTTATCTTGGATGGTATTAGGGGATGCTCTTCATGCATTTCACAAGTATGCCTTGATTTTAATTGAGAATAGTCCTTTATGATGTGAATGACTAAGAGTTGAGTAAAGCTTATATGATGCCTATGTTGGAGGCTTTGCTTATTAATATGACATTGTCTCTTATGCTTATAGTTTATGTTTCATGAAGTACTTCATATGATTATGGATTAAGTCGTATGTTGACTAACCCTTGTCTTATGCTCTTATGATTATGCCTAACATATTTAGTACATTTTGTACTAATGCATACTTTGCCTACATTCTAATCAAATGTAGTGTTTGGAGACTTGAGTGCTATTTTTGGAGATACGTTTCTAAGGAGCAAATGAGTTGAAGATTTTGGTGAGTCTTCATAGCTTCGAGGACAAACTCCACTAGTTCCTTGATGCCTTTTTTTCATGTTTAGACTATTGTATGGTCTGTGTCCCAAGTGTTTTACTCTAAAGTTGTATTAGATGGTTTAATACAAAGTTTAGAAAGACTTCCACTTGTTTTTATGAAAATGACTTCGATTGTATGGATAAATTTTTTTAAATTTTCCATTCTTGTCTATTATCTTATGTTATGATATGCTAAGGGCTTGTATGAGACCCCTTCAGGGTCAAGTACGCCATGTTAGATCGAAGGTGTAACCCTGGTTCGTGACAAACATGGTATCAGAGAACAAGGTTTAGAATGGTTCTAGGATTGTCTCAAACCACCTCTAGTAGAGTCTTTTTCATAAATGTGAAGCGCGCCACATTTATTATTAAGAGGTTATTGGATGTTTAGGAAATCTTACTTCTTCAATCTGTAAGTCGGGCCATAGAGTTTGGCTCTAGTAGGTCCTTCTTCTAATTTGTGCCCTATGGTTTTTCAGGGTATGCCTAATACAAGGGAAAATGCTAGGAGAGATGAGGAAGACAATGTGGAGCAAGAGGTTACTCTCCAAGTCCCACACTAAGCTTTTCCTCAAGTTCCAAATCACCCTCTAGTTGAGAATGTCACTCTTGCAAAGTTTAGCACTTCTATGCAATTTTTGGCTCAAGCCTTGTCGGTGCAAGCCAATAGAGAAGTTGTAGCTCTGGAAAACCCAATAAGTGGGATGGTTGCTTCTAGAATAAGGGAGTTTTATGGATCCAAAATGGAGGAAAATCCTCAAGGTTTTATAGATGAAGAGTATAAGGTGCTTGCCGTCACGGGATTGACTTCGCTAGAGAAAGCGGAGCTAGCCTCTTATCAATTGAGGAATATCGCACAAATATGGTATGAACAATGGAAGGACAATAGGCAGGTAGAAGCGGGCCCAATAGAGTGGGAAGGTGTAACACCCCTAAAATACTAGATCAACTCTTGCATGTCGATGCATCATTTCTTAATTACTACAATATGTTTTACTCTTATTTTGGGAACTTGAAATTTTGTGATATATGCAACCTTGTTTAAAATAGATTGTTCTCGTAATTTAAGGTATTGTATGGGGGTATTTACGTAATTTTTTCTAATTTAAATTACATATGAATTGAAAGTGTTCGTAACAATTATATACATATAGGTGTATATGTATACATTTAGGGCAGCACACAATAAAATGGGGCAGCACCCTTTAGGGACAGTTGTATATGTGACTAAGCATCACACATTAGACTATATTATCACACCTCCTCTTGTGATTTTCGTTTGGAACTGAAGTCCAAGAACATAAGAACATTTTCTAACCAGTTTTTCATCAAAATCACAAGAGAAAACCTTGGTCCTTCTAGCTGGAAGTCGAGACATCCTACCTTTTGGTGAGTAATCAAAACTTGTTTTTTTGAAGCTGGGTAGTGCTTAGTAATTTCAGAATATCTCGTTCTGTATAACTTCTTTTGAGCTAAATAAATATGTTTTGGAAAGCTGATTCCTATACCTACAACTCTTCTGTTTATGGTAAACTCTAATTTAGCTATTAGGACTACGAAATAAGGGACGAAACCTATGACATGTTCTGTCCAGATTCTAGAATTTGAAATCCTGTATGTTCAACTGTTAGTGCTTTGTTTATATTTGTTTGTACAAAGCGTATTTTGCGGTAATTCTTGATTATTTTAAAGCTTAAGAGATGTACCTACATCTTTTATGAAGGATATAAATTCCACTTTGGCCGTTTCTGTTTCAAATCTAAGTTGCGACATGAAGTGCTTTTATTGGGCAGAATTTCTTTTTCGGGAGTATAGTCGTATTTGTACAAGTTAGCTTAGTTGTGATGATAACCCTGTGTTACGCCATCATTATTGAGCTACTAGAAAGTAAATAAGTGATTGAATTCATTTTTTAAAGGTTTTATATCCTCGTGTACGAGTTGAACTCGTGAAGTTATGTTGGACTGTTTTTGTGCTAAAGAACTGAGGTTTGTGTATAAACTTATACTTGTACTCTTTTTTACCTACTGGTATATTTGAAAGTTATCTTGGAACCTTGGTTACCTCTTGTCACTTTGCATTGTCGTATTGGTATTCTTTAATACATTAAAGACGCTTATGTAACTCGCCCCCTTGTACGGACTGTTTGATCACTTGGCACTCTTGTTGGGACCTTGTCCTTCTTGTTGCTGTGACATTGTCACTCTTGGCATGCCTCTTGGTTCGGATCATTTGCCATCTTGACTCTGGATTTTTAGTCCGTCTTAAGAATGGAAATTGTCCATTTTAAGTACGAACTAGAAAGCCATTTTTAATATGGTTCTGGGTTCTCTTGATTATTGGGTTTTGACCCTTCTTGACCCCTGCTCGTGCCTGGTGTGACGACTTGGCGTATATATTGGGTGAGCCTTGTTATTGAATCTCTTTAAAAGTTGTGTTATGAGCTCTCTTATCATTTGGACCTTTAAATATTGAACTTGATACTCCTAGTATATTGGTTACTTGATTTACTTATTTTGTTTCGATCGTGCTGCCCTTGACTTGAGAATGATAACTTGGTGAATTTGAGGGCTCCAAACCTATAATTTCCACACCACTAAGTTATATGCTTAGCGATAGTTGGTTCTATCGTAGGGGCTGTTCGCGATGATGCTTGATGATGGAGATTTTGAAAGCCTTAAGGAAGATCACATTTGCATATAGGCATCTATATTTTGTATAAACCTTGGGACTTGTACATGATCTTTGTGTTGTATATTTACATGAGATTTGGGGGGCTGATTTGGTCATGTCACCATGGGTTGTAATATAAGTGTGGTTATACATTTTTTTATCTTTTTGAGGTGTGTAAACCCAAGTTTTGTAATATACTAATTTGCTATATGTCTTGAAAGTTGTGTGAAGCATGAGTTGGCTGATTTCGGTACTCGGAAGTGTAATATTCTTGTTATTTCACCTCGAGTGTGAGGTTAATATATGCATGAAGATCTGGTCGGTTAATTGCCTTGATTTTTTTTATTTTTTTTTGAGTTCATTTTGAATCTAATCCCTCTACTAGTGTAAAATCAGTATGCCTCATTAATTGGTTTTGAATGTCGCGAGTATTTTAATTAGATTTCGTGTTTAAGTAGGGGTACCGTTTCGAAAGGGTCTCTACAAGTGTTGGTATCAGAGCCTAGGTTTGTGGTTCTAGGACTTTTGCTGTGAATTACTTGTATACTTGTTCGCTTTCGAAAAAGTTCTATTTGGATTATATGTTCACTTACATGGTTTATAATATTTTATCGCATGTAGAGTGCACATGCATCATGTACATGTCCCTAATGAAATGTAATCTTTCCTTTTGAAGGAATTAAGTTATGGCCACTTCTTTTGACCAACCTATGGAAGGTGCTCATTAAGGTTCAGGTGCCTTTGTTTCCCAACCTCATGCACTAGAAGGGGTTGGAGAACATATCTCGAATCAGTATGTTCCCCACACTAGTGGTTCTGAAGTGGGAAACCATCAATGTGCAAGAGGTGGTCCACATCCTCACATGAGTCATGGTACTCAAACCATGAATCCTCATCTTCATCAAATGGCTGAATTCATCCACCAAATGGCTGAATCGATGCATGATCCCCACAGGATTAACTTTGAGAAAATGAGGTAAATGGGTGGAGTGGAGTTTGAAGGCACTGTTGATCCCACTGATGCTGAACAATGGCTTGATCGCATGGAGAGGGTATTTGAGCAAATAGAGTGTTCAGATGTTGAAAAATTTAAGTATGTTATTTCATTATTACAAAAGGATGTTTACGATTGGTGGGTAAGTGTTCTGAATGCCAAGGTAAAACCTCCTATTCTTACTTGGGCTGATTTTCTTAAGGAATTTCGTATGAAGTATGTTCCACCTGCTTATTGTGATGCAAAGAAAAAGGAGTTTTTGAATATAAGGCAACGAGGCATGTTTATTGTTCAATACGAACAAGAATTTCTAAGGCTCTCTCGCTATGCTAGTGGTATTATTAAAGAGGAAAAAGACAAGCGCAGGAAATTTGAAAACGGTTTAAATGATTCCATTAGGAAGAATGTGGCGATCCTGCAACATGAGAAATTTTGTAAGTTAGTGTCTGCTGCTTTTACTTGGGAACTACTTGATAAAGAAGAAACTAGTAGAAATGAAAACAGATTTCGAAAGCCTAGACCAGATTTTGGGGGTCCATCCAAAAGGGGAAGGTTTGATAATTCTAAGGCTGGCAGTGATAACAGGCCACCTCAACAAAGGCAAAACACATCCGAATTTTCTACAGCTAGCACTCCAAATTATGGCCAAGGCAAGCCTCGTGTTCCCACCTTTCCACAATGTGGAAAGAATCATTATGGTACTTGCAGGAGAGCTTCTGGTGCATGTTTCAATTGTGGGAGCTTTGATCATAAAGTGAAGGATTGTCCTAATCCTAATTATGCTCCATCGTTGAGAACTGAAGGCTTAGTTCATAAGCCTTCTGTCAATCCTCCTTAAAATAATATTGGTTCAAGACCTAAAAACACCCAGGCAGCAGGTACAAGTAGAGTTAATCAAGCTAGTGGGAAAAGGGCTACTGCACATGCTTATGCGATAAGGCAGAGGGATGATCAAGATGGACAAGACGTGGTTGTTAGTAAATTTCACTTATTTGGCTTATGTGTGTTTACATTATTTGACCCTGGTTCTACACATTCCTATATTTGTTCATCGTTTGTTCTTCCTGAAAATGTGAAATCTGTGAGTCTTAATTATGATATGCTGGTTGAAAGTCCTTTGGGTTATCAAGTTGTGTGTAATCGAGTTTACCAAGATTGTCCCTTCGTGATTCAAAACCTAGTCTTCCCTGCTGATTTGATTGAAATACCCTTCAAGGATTTTGATGTTATTATCGGTATGGATTGTCTTTATAAATATCATGCAGTTGTAGATTGTAGGTCTAAGCATGTGACTTTTAAAGATCCTACCTTTTCACACATCATTGTACAAGGTTAAAGATTAGTGACATCTAGTATTATTTCTGCAGCCTTGGCAAGAAAGTTGATACGTCAAGATTGTGGGGCATACCTTGCTCACATAGTTGATACACAGTTGAAGAGTTCTTGTATCAAAGACATACCTACTTTATGTAATTTTCCAGAAGTATTTCCAGAAAACCTTCAGGGATTGCCCCCGGAAAGAGAGGTTGAATTTCCAATCGAGCTTATTCCTGGATCTACCCCTATTTCTATCACTCCTTATAGAATGGCTCCAGCAGAATTAAGAGAATTGAAATCTCAACTGCAAGAACTTCTTGAGAGAGGTTTTATTCGTCCTAGTGTTTCTCCTTGGGGAGCCCCTGTTTTATTCGTAAAGAAGAAAGATGGCACTCTTAGGCTTTGTATTGACTATAGACAATTGAACAGAATAACAATCAAGAATAGATATCCACTACCAAGAATTGGTGATTTGTTTAACCAACTTAAAGGTGCTAAAGTATTCTCAAAAATTGATTTAAGGTCTGGATATCACCAACTGCGTGTTAGAGAGAAAGATATTCCTAAAACTGCTTTTAGAACTCGATATGGTCATTATGTATTTTTGGTGATGCCATTCGGATTGACAAATGCTCCTGCGGTATTCATGGATCTAATGAATCGAGTATTCAAGCCTTATCTTGATCAGTTTGTGGTTGTTTTTATAGATGATATTTTAATATTTTCCAGATGTAGTAAAGACCATGATAAACACCTCCGGATTATTTTGAAAATTTTGAAGGAGAAAGAACTTTATGCTAAACTTTCCAAGTGTGAATTTTGGCTTGATGAAGTAGCTTTTCAAGGACATGTTGTATCAACCGAAGGTGTGAAAGTGGATCCTAGTAAAATACAAGCATTTGTTGAATGGAAACCTCCCAAAAGTCTGACTGAGGTAAGAAGTTTCTTAGGCTGAGCAGGATACTACAGAAGATTTGTGAAAGGTTTTTCCATTATCGCCTCTCCTTTGACTAAGCTCTTGCAGAAGGAAGTAAAGTTTATCTGGGATGACAAATGTCAAGAGAGCTTTGAAACTCTCAAATCCTTGTTGACTCAAGCGCCTATACTTACTCTACCAATTGAAGGGAAAGACTACGTAGTATACAGTGATGCTTGTCACAATGGTCTCGGATGTCTTTTGATGCATGAAGGGAAGGTAATTTCTTATGTCTCTCCGAAATTAAAACTGCATGAATTGAATTATCGTACTCATGATGTTGAACTTGCTGCTATAGTGTTTACTTTAAAAATATGGCGGCATTATTTATATGGAGAGAAATGTTATATCTTCACTGATCACAAGAGATTAAAGTACTTGGGTACTCAAAGGAGCTAAACCTTCGACAATGTAGATGGCTTGAACTCATCAAGGATTATGACTGCACGATTGATTATCATCCAGCTAAAGCCAATGTGGTTGCAGATGCCTTAAGTCGGAAATCCTTCGCAAGCATTTCTTTGAGTCCTTTACCCTTGCTCCTTGAGTTAAGAGCGATGAATGTTTATTTTACACTTGATTCAAATGGTTCAGCTATTGCTAATTTACGAGTAAAGCCAATATTACTCGAGCAGGTGAAAGAAGCACAAATGTTAGATGACAAGCTTGTAAAATTGTCCAGAGAAGTTAAAAGTGGGGAAAAACTTGATTTTACATATACAGAGGATGGTGGCTTATTTTATCAAACCAGGTTATGCGTCCCTAATGATGACAAATTGAGGAGAGAAATATTGAATGAAGCATATGCTTCACCATATGCAATGCATCCTGGAGGTACAAAGATGTACCGGACCATCAAAGAAAATTATTGGTGGAATGGTATGTAGAGAGACATTATAGAGTTCGTCTCTAAATGTTTGGTTTGTCAACAAGTAAAGGCTGAACATCAAGTCCCAGTGGGTTTACTACAACCCTTGTCGATGCCAGAATGGAAATGGGAGAGAATAACTATGGACTTTGTTTCTGGACTTCCTCGCACTTAGAGGAATCATGATGCAATATGGGTGATTGTGGACAGGCTAACCAAGAGTGCTCACTTCTTAGCAATCAAGATGGATTACTCACTTGAGCGTTTAGTTGAGTTGTAGATTAAGGAGATTGGAAGAGTACATGGAATCCCTGTGTCTATTGTATCAGATCGGGACCCAAGGTTTACATCTAGATTTTGGGGTAGCTTGCAGGAAGCTTTGGGTACTAAGTTGAAGTTTAGCACTTCGTTCCATCCTCAAACTAACGGCCAGTCGGAAAGAGTGATACAAATTTTGGAGGATATGCTTCGAGCTTGCATTATGGAGTTTGAAGGTAGTTGGGAAAAACACTTGGCCTTGATAGAATTTTCTTACAATAACAGTTACCAATCGAGTATTGGAATGCCTCCCTATGAAGCCTTATAGGGAAGAAAATGCCGGACCCCTCTTTGTTGGAGTGAAGTTGGTGAAAGAAATCTTGTTGGTCCTGAAATTGTGCAAAAAACAGAGGACAAGGTAAAAATTATCAAAGATCATCTAAAGATTTCTTCGGATAGACAAAAGTCGTATGCTGATCTTAAAAGGCGTGATATTGAATATCAAGTTGGGGATAAAGTATTCTTAAGGGTGTCTCCATGGAAAAAGATTATGAGATTTGGCCAGAAAAGAAAACTTAGTCCCCGATTTATTGGACCTTATGAGATACTTGAAAGGGTTGGACCAGTTGCATATAAATTGGCGTTGCAACCTGAGTTAGACAAGATCCACAATGTCTTCCATGTTTCTATGCTTAGAAGATATCGTTCTGATCGATCTCATGTTCTTCCAGTTGAATCTATTGAGGTTAATCTTGACTTGACGTATAATGAAGAACTTATTCTAATCCTAGCTCGAGAAGTAAAGCAACTTAGAAACAAGAGAATCCCCTTAGTAAAGGTACTTTGGAGGAACCATTCTGGAAAAGAAGCTACCTGGGAAACAAAAGAAGTCATGAGGACCCTATATCCGCACTTGATCCAGGACTAGCATAAGGTAAATTTTGAGACGAATTTTTTTTAAGGAGGAGTGAGTTGTAACACCCCTAAAATACTAGATCAACTCTTGCATGTCGATGCATCATTTCTTAATTACTACAATATGTTTTACTCTTATTTTGGGAACTTGAAATTTTGTGATATATGCAACCTTGTTTAAAATAGATTGTTCTTGTAATTTAAGGTATTGTATGGGGGTATTTACGTAATTTTTTCTAATTAAAATCACATATGAATTGAAAGTGTTCGTAACAATTATATACATATAGGTGTATATGTATACATTTAGGGCAGCACACAATAAAATGGGGCAGCACCCTTTAGGGACAGTTGTATATGTGACTAAGCATCACACATTAGACTATATTATCACACCTCCTCTTGTGATTTTCGTTTGGAACTGAAGTCCAAGAACATAAGAAAATTTTCTAACCAGTTTTTCATCAAAATCACAAGAGAAAACCTTGGTCCTTCTAGCTGGAAGTCGAGACATCCTACCTTTTAGTGAGTAATCAAAACTTGTTTTTTTGAAGCTGGGTAGTGTTTAGTAATTTTAGAATAACTTGTTGTGTATAACTTATTTTGAGGTGAATAAATATGTTTTGGAAAGCTTGATTCCTATACCTACAACTCTTATGTTTATGGTAAACTCTAATTTAGCTATTAGGACTACGAAATAAGGGACGAAACCTATGACATGTTCTGTCCAGATTCGGGAATTTGAAATCTTGTATGTTCAACTGTTAGTGTTTTGTTTATATCTTTTTGTACAAAGCGTAGTTTGTGGTGATTCTTGATTATTTGCAAGCTTAAGAGATGTACCTACATCTTTTATGAAGGATATAAATTCCATTTTTGCCTTTTTCTGTTTCAAATCTAAGTTGCTATATGGAGTGCTTTTATTGGGCAGAATTTCTGTTTCGGGAGTATAGTCGTATTTGTACAAGTTAGGCTTACTTGTGATGATAACCCTGTGCTACGCCATCATTATTGAGCTACTAGAAAATAAATAAGCTATTGAATTCATTTTTTAAAGGTTTTATATCCTCGTGTACGAGTTGAAGACTTTGATGCGCTGGTTGGTCTACGATTTGAACTCGTGAGGTTGTGTTGGGCTGTTTTTGTGCTAAAGAACTGAGGTTTGTGTATAAACTTATACTTGTACTCTTTTTTACCTACTGGTATATTTGAAAGTTATCTTGGAACCTTGGTTACCTCTTGTCACTTTGCATTGTCGTATTGGTATTCTTTAATACATTAAAGACGCTTATGTAACTCGCCCCCTTGTACGGACTGTTTGATCACTTGGCACTCTTGTTGGGACCTTGTCCTTCTTGTGGCTGTGACTTTGTCACTCTTTGCATGCCTCTTAGTTCTGATCATTTGCCATCTTGACTCTGGATTTTTAATCCGTCTTAACAATGGAAGTTGTCCATTTTAAGTACGAACTAGAAAGCCATTTTTAATATGGTTCTTGGTTCTCTTGATTATTGGGTTTTGACCCTTCTTGACACCTGCTCGTGCCTGGTGTGACGACATGATGTATATATTGGGTGAGCCTTGTTATTGAATCTCTTGAAAAGTTGTGTTATGAGCTTTCTTAACATTTGGACCTTTAAATATTGAACTTGATACTCCTTGTATATTGGTTACTTGATATACTGATTTTGTTTTGATCGTGGTGCCCTGGACTTGAGAATGATAACTTGGTGAATTTGAGGGCTCCAAACCTATAGTTTGCACACCACTAAGCTATATGCTTAGCGATAGTTGTTTCTGTCGTAGGGGCTGTTCGCGATGATGCTTGAAGTTGGCCATTGATGATGGAGATTCTGAAAGTCTTAAGGAAAATCACATTTGCATATAGGCATCTATATTTTGTATAAACCTAGGGACTTGTACATGATCTTTGTGCTGTATATTTACATGAGATTTTGGGGGCTGATTTGATCATGTCACCATGTGTTGTAATATAAGTATGTTTTATATTTTTTTATTTTATTGGGGTGTGTAAACCCAAGTTTTGTAATATATTAATTTGCTATATGGCTTGAAAGTTGTGTGAAGCATGAGTTGGCTGATTTCGGTACTCGGAAGTGTAATATTCTTGTTATTCACCTCGAGTGTGAGGTTAATATATCCATGAAGATCTGGTCGGTTAATTGAATAGATTTTTTTTTTTGAGTTAGTTATGAATCTAATCCCTCTACTAGAGTAAAATCAGTATGCCTCATTAGTTGGTTTTGAATGTCGCGAGTATTTTAATTAGATTTTTTGTTTAAATAGGGGTACCATTTTGATAGGGTCGCTATAGAAGGTTTCAAAGAAGCATTCCTACATAGGTTCTTTACTCTAGAGTTGAGAGAACGAAAGATGCAAGAATTCATTAACCTTCGTCAAGGAGGTATGAGTGTGAATGAGTATGCTCTTAAGTTCACCCAACTATCTAAGTATGCTCCAACTATAGTGGCAGACTCGAGGGCTATATTGAATAAATTTATGATGGGAGTGTTCGGCTTTGTAGAGAATGAGTGTCGTTCGGCAATTCATATCCCAAGTATGAATACTTCAAGTCTTATGGTTCATGCCAAACAAATTGTGGAGAAAAAGGTCAAGAAAATGAATAAGGAGATAAAAAGAGTTAGAACCAATGATGTGAACTTTTCTAATGCTAAGTCTGATGAACATGGTAGGCCTAAATCTAAACAAAGGTATTCCGACCAAGATTCTTCCAACATCCCGAGGTTTGACAAACAAAAGGTAGTGGGTCTCCATTTCCTACGTCTACTTGCACCATGTGTGGAAGGATTCACTATAGAAAGTGTCTAGCCGGCATGGATGGTTTTTATGGGTGTGGGAAGGATGTGCCCAAAATGAGAGATTGTACGGTTCTTAAGGATAAGGGAAGGAAGGATAAGAAGGTTAACTCTAGTGGTCCGGATGAGAGTTCTTAAAAGAAGGATAGGTTTTATGCTCTCCAATCTAGAGAAGATCAAGAGTGATCTCCTCATGTTGTTTTCAGTATGTGTTTTATGCTTTAGTAATTTATGGATTTTCTTGTCTTTTGTAACTTGTTATGTTAGACCTTAAAGTTGTCTTTAGCATGAATGATGTTAAAAAGTGATTGAATAGGCTTACTCCCAAAGGGGGATATAGTTTTCCTAAAAAGTAAGGTTATTGTGTGTTTATGTGTTTCCATGATTTCCTTATATGATGCATGTTCATGAAACTGCTTAGTCCTTATTAGAAATGACTTATATGCATTATTTTACTTCATGTTGTAGTGCATTTCACTATAGTTGCATATAGACTTCATGAGAGGAATACATGAGCATGCTCTAGTTTGGAGTTGAGAGATTCCTCCTTACATGAATGCTTTTTTAGAGTAAATTGAATATGAGCTCCATGAGTGTTTGTTGAGCATGATTTAGTTTGGAGAATGTAGCTCTTCCTATGAATATGATGAGTTATGAGATTTCATGCATAATGGGTTGTTAGATAAAGTTTCTACTTTCTTGTGTTGCATTAGATGTTGCATGCATGATGGGCTTCTAGTCTAGAGTCATTTCCCTTAAGAAGTGTTTAGGAATATCATTCGAGGATGAATGTTCCCAAGGGGGAGATATTGTAATACCCAGGAAACTAGTAGACCAAACTAGAGCCTCAAGCAAGGGTTCTAGATTTTGATGTTAAAGGTTAGAGTCGTAGATAAGACTTCCAGTACCTAGAATTAGGGGTTTAGGGGTTCAACGTCAAGGCACATGTTATACCCCGCAACTTAGAAGACCACCTAAGGTTTGGTTGAGTGTTGCAAGGGAAAGTGCCAAGGCAAAAGGGGCAAAGCCTAAGCCAAAGGCCAAGGCTTCCCCAAACTTGGAGCACACTTTCGCAAGTCCACGACCACCACCACAACCTGTGGTGTGGAGCATGGCTCGTGGTATGGTTCGTGAGGCCAAGGCAGTAACTCCCTAGGGCCTTCCTCAAAGTGGCATACCTCCACGAGCCACTTCACGACCAGTGGTTTTGACTACGGTTAGTGGGAAGGCTCGTGAAGATGTCTTAGGATGAGGGAAGCCAAGACATTTTAAGTCAAGTACTGCCCCATGTTCACGACCACCTTAACGACCAGTTGTCTTCACCACAGTTCGTGAGGGGTCTCGTGAAGTCCCTTTAAGTTTGAGGGAGGCAAGGCATTGAGGATAAGCCACTGCCTAGGGACCACGACTATCACCATCACTCGTGGTCCTGACCACGGATCGTGGGAGCTCTCGTGGTCATTCCTTGGATCTTTGGAGGCCAAGAAACAAAGACTTAGCCACTGCCCAAGGATCACGGGCAGGACCATGGCTTGTGGTCTTGACCACGGCTCATGAGGTGCTCTCGTAGTGCCTGGGAATGGCTGCCTAGTGAGGGGCCGTTTAGTAAATTCCCTTTTTATTAGTTTTAAGTGGGGGTCATTTTATATGGATTTTATACATCTATATAAAGTATTTTAAGTCATTAACCACCCCAACTAGGTAATTAATTCCAAAGCCCATAAGATCCCAAAAGTTCTTCCTCTCAAAATATTTCTCTCTCTAGAAAACCCAAGACTTGAAGAAGGAGAAAGAGCTTGAAGCTTAGTTCAAGAACAAAGACACCATTTTTGGAAGCTTGTGTTCAGGGTTTGAATTTAGGTATGTTAGCTTATTCATCTATGGGTTCTTCCACTCATAGAGCCCTTTTAGTTTTCCCAAAATTTGTGATAAAGAACCCCAATCTAAGCTAGGGTTTCTTCCAATGTGTAGGTATAGTTGGGTATGATTTTAGTTGGTTTGATAATACTTATTTATGGTTAATTTAGTATTGATTCATGATATTATGATAAATTTATGTTATTTTCATGGCTACCCTAGTCTAATTGACGAAGTTGAATTATGTGGGTTTATGTCATGAAGGTGAAATTGGAGGTTCATAGGTAATCTTCTTTAATTGATGGTTTGAGTAGTAATT